TAACAACTTTTTGGTGCCCTATTATTTTTCCCACAAATGGTGAATTTAATTAGCTTAAAATGAAGCATCAAGCGGATACAAACACAATCATTACACATTGATCTCTGCATAGTTAGGAAATGCTCTATTATAGGGCTGTTGTTGGGATGCTCTAAAATGCACCATATGGATATGGATGTCGTTTGGTAGATAGCGTTTGGCGCGTAAACACTTGATTTCGACAGGGAAAAACTTTTCACTATAATGAGGGAGACCTTATTACTGAATCAAAAGGAATGGTCCATCTTCCACCTTCAACTTGAGACGCTGGATTGGTGTGAGCCGACTGCAAGATACGATTGTAGAACTTGTGCCTAATCTCTCGCTCTTGCTGAACCTAAATCTTGTTGTAAAGAGGAGGGAAACGGCATGGCCCCGCCCCCTCCACATCGTCCAGAAACCCGGCCTTCTGGCAGAACTCGACGCTGTCCGTGATGGTCTCCTCCAGCGACCGGCAGCTCCACCCCAGCTTCTTCAGCTTGTCGGTGGTCATTGGCGCCGGGTGATCCATGTCACTGATGCTTTCCCTGCAATTTTGCCAAAGTGAATGAAGTCAACCAGTGCTGGGGATGGGATGGGCTTCAGCATTCCAGTGAGGGAAAAGAGGAGGATAAAGAGGCCTGCGTACTTGCTTATGTGAGGGTAGTCAGGGTACATGCTCTTGAGCAAGTCCAGCAGGTCGCGGGCGGTGATGACATGTGGGGCGCAGATGTGCCTGCCGGTGGCCTCGGGCGCCTCATAGAGAAGAAGCAGCGCGTCGGCGGTGTCACGCACGTCGACGATGTGCCAGAGCTTGTCCCTCATCCGGTCAGGGCCTCCTGCATGCACCGGCGCTCAAATGATGAGAAACAGAGGACAGGGCACACGGTGCATCATCAGGTTGTGAGCGTGAGGTGATGACTGAAACCACCTTTCAGGAAGTAGATGAGGAACTGGCTGCTCGCGTTCACCGTTGGCTGCAGCAGGGGACCGAACACCACCGCCGGGTTGAGGGTGACCACATCCAGGCCGGTCCGCCGCCCGTACTCGAGCGCCGCCTCTTCTGCGGTGATCTTGGAAACCGAATACCAGTCCTGCAGAGCCATGGCAAAGATAAAGAAATCACAAGTTTATTAATTGCTCACAACAAGATTTGGTGCTTCCCTAACAGCACCAGATTCGGTGAAAGTACCTCGTTGCTCCTGCAGAACTCTCTGTCTGACCAACTACTTTCATCTTTGATCTTGTCGGTGGGCCAATCTTTCGGGTTGATATCGACGGCGACTATGGATGACACGACGACCAGCCGCCGAACCTTGGCGGCGGACGCAGCCTCCAGTACATTCCTCGTACCAGTAGCAGCAGGACCCAAAACTTCAACCTGTGTGTACGTATGGCATGAATACTTAGTCTGATGTTCAGTTGTAATGTAAATGACGATACATGTCGTACACAAGATCTGCGAAGTGCAGACTCACCTCTGGATCAGTCACATCCCCCTTAGGAACCGGGCTCGCGACATGGAAAACTCCCTGGCTTCCCTCTATGGCAGCCGCCATCGCGTCGTAATCAAGCAGATCGGCCTTGATAAGCTTGAGATTTTCAGATGCGTTCTCTAGCGACCTCAGATGGCCGGTCTTCTTCTCACCTGAAACATTATCAGAACTATTCATCTGTTTATAGTACGACACTACTAATATATATACTACCCCCTCCCAAAATAAGTGTCCCATTTAGTGCAACTTATTTTGGGACGGAGGGCGTATATGCCAATTGTTTTGTGCATCGATCGAGGGTGCACTGATCCAACGGTCTAGCGCTACAAAGTATATCAGCGCAAGTAGCTTAAACAGGAACACCAGATCCCACGCTACTTCATCAGCCAGACGTCCAGATAACCCCAGAGAACAGGTAACAACAGTAGAAGATCGAGCTTTTCCGGGGAACCGGAATCTGGATCCACGGTGATCATGCTATGTAGATGACACCTTGACCGATGTAACCGACTTGTGTCCCATTCAAAGAAGGAAAAATCTGGAGAGGGTGGGGTCGGAGCAGGCTCGGTGGCTGCGCGCGCGGAGGAGGTGGTAGAGGAAGTCGGGGTGGCCGGAGATTCGCCGAGCCGAGACCGCCATGGCGGGGTCGCATGCACGGGCACGGGCACAAAAGGAGTCAAGCAGGCAGGCACGTACCGAGGTCGCGCACGGTGCCGCGGACGGTGTAGCCGCGGGACAGGAGGAGCTTGACGAGCCACGAGGCGATGTACCCGGCGGCGCCGGTGACGCACACCGTCTCCCCCTTGGCTCCATCCATACGCCCGACCATGGCTGAAGCTGATAGGCTCCGCTCCACACACTGACACACACACACCACAGAGCGCGAGCTCCACTCAACGTCTGTGGTTGCTAGCAGCAGCAGGAGTGCTCAACGATAGCTACTGGGTCAGGGAAGCAGCCTGCTACAAGTACAGGTTGGAGGGAAATTTGCAGGGCACACACACACGTACGAATCAGCGTTTGTTTATATGCAACTTCGGGCGGCCCGTAGATCAGAATCTTGATCTGGAACTCACGTGGAACTGATTATAGTTTCTGATACGCAAAGATTCAGCATGGAGCACGCCGATATATTGTATATATAGACTACTTGAAACTCGAGCATCCATGCGCAACTTGATCGCTTTGCGCTCAAATAGCGCACAGATCGACATGCTAGCAGTTATCGCGCCGGCACTATTTTGTATCTTTTGTCGGCACAGTATACACTATAATTACGGGGAGCGTCTAAACGTCAGGTACGTGAAAGAACGCTTCGCACCAGTCACTTTGTTTTCTGCCCGTCCGATCCGCATCCAACCGCTCACAGGCCGGGGAAGCTCTGGTGCACCAGAGCTTGTGGTGCTACCGGTGCACCGAACTCACATTGTATTTTTAAAAATTCAAAAAAGTCTGAAAAAAATTAGCACACTCACACAATAGCAATGTAGGTTCTCACAAAATTTCAAGTCAAAATTTAAAACATAACTAAAAAAATGACAAATTCAACACTGAATAGTACATAACATAACTTGGGCTTTAGACTTGGCCCATTATTACACTGATGTCAAATTTGCCATTTTTGTAGCTCAAAAAACATTTCAAATTTTTATACGAAATTTTGTGACATCGTACATTGATGTTGTGTTAGAATGCTAGATTTTTTTTTCAGATTTAAAAATATATTCTATGGCATCCGGTGCACCGGTAGCACCACAAGTGCGGGTGCACCGGATACATTCTCGGCCGTCTTCTTCCTCCTAACCGACTTCATCCTCAAGCCGCGATCTGATCCATCCTTCTCTGCAACCGTTGGCCTACCCTGCCCCATCGGTCTGCTCCACCCCCTGTGGCCGACGGGCGCCGCCGCGCACCGCCTCGTCACCCCTCCTCTCAACCTCTCCCCACCACTATTGCTAACCATCGCCCCAGCTACCCCTCTAAGCCCCACACCACCGGAAAAAACCTCCGGTGATCCCCAGCACCCCCGACCGCTAAGATAGATAATGGGGCTGTTGCTTCCCTCTAAGATAGAGAGTGGGGTTGGTTCTTCTCCCGCAAAGTTCGCGAGGTCTGGCCTTCCCATCTCATGCGCCCGGGAAGAAGGAAGGAGAACGACAATTACGTTGAAAATTCATAACATAAATGGGCATGCACACACAAAAAAATAGCTACCTGAGAAATTGCAAAAACGTAATTATTGCGGACAACAATTACGTTGAAAGTTCATAACGTAAATGGGCATGCACACATACGTTATTGCAGCCGTTTAGGTTGGGGCGCTTCTATCCCTCGCGTTCAGCGAGACCTGGGGAGAGCGCTCGCGTCGAGAGGCAGTTCACATGGGCCGGCCCAGGTTCGTTGGAGGATTCTCAGTTTTTCTATATTTTCTGTTTTCTTTTTGGCTTTTATTTTTGTAGTTTTTCTTATACTTTAAAATATATAAATTACAAAGAACACTCTTCCACAAACATTTTAAAAATGTTGAAAATGTATTTTAAAATGTAGAAAAATTATTTGAGAAATGTTGAACGAGTATTTAAAAAACATTGAACAAGTATTTGAAAATATTGAACACATATTTAAAAACTGCTGTACAAGTATTTGAAAAAATGTTGATCATGTATATAAAAATGTTGAACAAGTATTTTAAAAATGGTGAATGAGTATTGAAAAAATTTTGAACGAGTATTTGAAAATGTTGAACATGTATTTGAAAAACTATTGTACAAGTATTTGGAAAAAATGTTGATCATATATATAGAAACGTTCAATGAGTACTTTAAAAAAATTGAACAAGTATTTGAAAAATATAGAACATGTATTTGAAAAAATCTTGATCATGTATATAAAAATGTTCAACAAGTACTTTAAAATTGTTAAATGAGTATTTAAAAAATGTTGAACAGGTATTTGAAAAACTATTGTACAAGTATTTGAAAAAATGTTGATCATATATATAAAAATGTTGAACCAGTATCTGAAAAATGCTGAATGGGTATTTAAAAAATTCTAAACAAGTATACGAAAAATGTTGAACAACTATTTGAAAAACTATTGTACAAGTATTTGAAAAAATATTGAACATGTATATAAAAATGTTCAACAAGTATTTGAAAAAAATATACATATATATATATATACATATATATATATATATATATATATATATATATATATATATAAATATATACATATACATACAGGGTCACGCTATTCGTCACCTTGGGTGAGGAATAGTTATTCTTCACCCCCTCTCAATTTTGACATCAATGCATCGTATTTTTATCTCTACTCCTAATGGAGCAGTTGGTAGTCTCGCTTCCAGGTTTTTTTTCGTCCCACCACTTTCGTCCGGTTTTTTTTCGTAGGTTAACCGTCGTAGATTTTTTTCGTCGCCTCCCCCACTTCATCGGTTTATTTTCACTTCACCCTTTCACACAACGAAAAAAACTGAACGGATCAGAACTTTCCATACCGACGCAAATTATTTAGTAATGTCTTTATGTAAAAGAATCAATCACAATCAATCTCTAAAGATCAAATCTAAATTAATTAATCTTCATAACGTTTATTTCCCTTCGAATCACGTCCATAACTTTCCTTCCTTGTTTGGGCAGAAACTGTTTGGTAGCAGAGATTAGGAAGCTTCCTATGAGTGTATTAATAGGAAGTATTCTTTTTCTTGATGATTCATTTCCATGCATGATGATAGTAAATTAGGTCAACATTCACCACTATTTATCAACGTCATCAATCGTATCCATTCCTACCAGTTTTAAAGGAATCTGCTCGCTATGTCTTTTTTAAGGGGATCCGCTCGCTAAGTCATCGTCGCATGTTATTTTCACAAGCAATTCCCCTAAAAAAAGGCGTGGGTATTGGTTGTTGAACGCCCGCTAGGTTTTCCGCCTGTCCCATCCTCGCGCTGTGCCGCCACCCGCCGAATTTCCAGCCGCCCAGCCCGTTAACTTCGCCAGCCATCGGGTCGACTGCCCCCGCCCCAAACCCCCATCCCCGAGCACTAGCTATCGCCGCGTTGCCGCCCCAAGCTCCACGCCACCGGGAACGAATCAAGCGCCGTCCCGACACCGTCGTCGCCGGCCCAGCACCTCCAGCCTTGCATGGACAGCTTCAATGTGCAGTCTCCCTTGCTGCCTCACCTTCTGCCAGCGCATGCAATGGCGGGGTTGGACGCGTGCGTGCTTGCTAGCTTGCTCTCTGTCTTCTGAGGGGATGAATGCAAAGCAGTCTATTAAGTCAGGCACTATTGCTGAGCTAAATTGACAAAAAAATATTGGTAGCCATAGTTGTAGTTTAAGTAGTACCGAGTTGTCTGTCGTTACTAAATTGACAAAAAGGTTGCCAGTGTCACTTGATATGTATGAGAATATTAAATGTATTATTAACATGATTAATATTGAACTCTTAACCCTAATGTGGCCCCGTTGCAACGCACGGGCGTTCTTCTAGTGTTTTATAACTTTTGTCTTATTTCATACATAAAAAAAGAGCATAAGAAAAATATGTACTCTCTGTAAAATATTTTATGTTACGTAGAATTACGAATGTAAAAATATAATGTAAAACATACTTAAAATGTGATTTTTCTAGTATTATAACCTATATTTTGTTTTTTATACCAAATTTTACATATTAAATCAATATGCATGTAACTATTTATATTCTAAACGTAATTTATTTAGGAAGCAATCATAAGATTACCTCGGGTGAAGAATAACTGGTTGTGTACTCCTGGGAGTACGTACTCCCGCTCCTCATATACCACATAGATGAATCTTTTATACTTCTTTATTATTTTTAATATACTTCATTAGTAATTATTAGGTATCCCAAAATGAGTTTCATGAAAAAAATTTATATGAGCCTATATATTTTTAAATGTTTACGTATATACTGATATGTTCGTACGTGAAAAAGGTATATTACAAAAAGTACGTCGCAGATGATATTTTTTTAACAAAACTCGTATTGAGGTATTTTAGAATATTTAATGAAGTATATTGAGAAAAATAAAGAGATATAATTAATGCGTATATGAGATATATTGAGGATAAGAGTACATACTTTCAAAAGTATAGAAGAAGAGTATATATATAAAAAAGTATTTGAAAAGTGTTGAACAATTATTTAAAAAATGTTGAACAAGCATTTGAAAATGTTGAACACGTGTTTGGAAAAAATGTTCTACAAGTATTTTAAAAAATATTGATCTAGTATATAAAAATGTTGAACAAGTATTTGAAAAAAGGTTGAACAAGTATTTAAGAAACTTTTAAACAAGTGTTTGACAAAATGTTGGACAAGCATTTGAAGGAAAACCAAAAAAGAAACAAATTCCCAAAGAAGAAGAAAAACAAAAGAAAGAAAAGAATGGAAAAGGAAAAGTAAAAAAATGGAGAACAAAAAAGAAAATGAAAAAGCCGAAGAAAAACAAAAGGAAAAAACCCATGAAAACAAATGGAAGCCCGGCTTCACTCGCCTCAACTACAGAACGCATCTCATTCTTATCACCAGCGAGAGTTGGGTGCAGTGGCTAGAAGAGCAGGGATATCGAATATTGCTTCTCCGGTATGTTATTTTTCTTTTTCTGCGTGAACTGGGCCAGCCTGATTACTCGAAACTCTTCAGCGAGACATCCCGCAGCGATCGCTTATCTCTATTCCTAATGGAGCAGTTGGTAGTCTTGCTTCCAGGTTTTTTTTCGTCCCACCACTTTCGTCCGGTGTTTTTTCGTAGGTTAACCGTCGTAGATTTTTTTCGATGCTG